AAACTGAAACAAATATTAAAACCCGCACTCTTTTTCTCAATGGAGATATTAATAAATTTTACGTAAAAAATTTTAAATACTAAATTTTACACAACTTCTCAAATAAGTAGCATGCATAAATATGTTAATTTAATCTTATACATAAATCACTTACAACCATAATTTTTTTTTATTGAAAATCATATAAGAACTTAATGTATTTTGATATATTTTGGCTATTCGCGTTTCTCAACCGAGAATGTTAAAACAAGCCTACGAAGCAGCTCCTCATCTTCGTCAACGAATTTTCAGATAGCACCGAAGCGTGAAATTAGCGAGCCATTCCATCAGTTCGTATCTCGTGTAAGCTAAACAGCTAGGTGTATGTTGAGGCGGCTCCGTGCACGAGATATCCAATTGGATGAAGCGGAAGGTAGAACAATTAAACGAGGCTAACGAGTATATTATTACCTTAATGAGCTCAGAATTCAAAGATGGGTTTTAATTATTTTGTATAAACCGATGAATACAGGTCGGACTCGGTGATAAAATGCGAAAATTCTCTCTCGCGCAAATGGAAGTATCGCTTTGAGGGTCTAACTTCGTGGACACTCCACCAAGTATCGACTATGGCCGTTATTACGATTTCATCATACGCGCGAGAATCCCTTTTGGAAATAAATAGAATGCGATGAAGAAAATCCGCCCGTTAACGACTGCGCTGTAAACTGTAAACTTGCCGATTTAGGGATATTACATGCGAAAATAACACAGTAAAAACTTAATCGTGAGAGGAGAACGCAACCACGACGCAGACCTCCATGCATCGACACGTGCGTCATTCGCGTAAAAACACGGGTATCAGCGCGGAATCTCGGTGCTCCACATTGTCTGCTGACGACAACGTCACGAAATGTCGATCATGGCCGATCATACTGTCGTTGAGTGTCTTGAGGCCTGTCGATCGATCGGTTTGCGGTTTTCCTGCGCAACGGGCTTGTCAAAGGCAACATATCCTCCGGTCGACACGTCATTTGTAACAAGTTTCATAGTTCGCTATTCGCGACGCTTTGATCGTCGCTATGAGGAAGAAATCATAATCGCTCTTCCCCACAACGCATACACACACAGAGACGCAAAGTACGTGGAATTTGTAGAGTTATGCGTTCCACTCGGGACACGCTATTGTACGCTAAAGAGGAATTTATCGTAATCACGAAGCCCTTGAAAGGGAAAGCAGTTTGTTTCAAACTGGCGTTTTCCTATTTTGATGATCTCATGTAGTGAGATATATTATCACATTATTCTTAAATATAGCGTCGAAATACATTCAAATCAATTAAATATAGAAACGTTAACATGATAACATACAGGCGCGAAAATGGAACAAAATTTAATTAAGGGAATTCGTACAAAAATGCGTGTCCTGTTTCAATTATTTCATTTGAGATATTTTAAATGATTTACTTCGATATCGTATGCACGTCGCGAATTTTATTTTGCGTACATATGCATTAAAATATACATACCATAGCCGCGAAAATTAATGAAGCCTACCGCGGAATAACCGCAGGATTATTAATTGGAGCGTTTGATTTTGATTAAAAACGACACTTCATAAGCAACGCTGTTCCGATTTACTTTATTTATGATAAACGTTTCCAACCGTGTCCAGCATTTCAGCGCGTACTTACACACATTTAATATACTTTTTACCGTTTCCCACATGTAACATTTCATCTGAAACGAACCGTTGCGATGCTATTTGATAACACAAGTGCTCTATATGGTAAAAATAAAAAAGAAGTCATGTTTCTCGAATAAGCAATCATTGCAGCTGCAGTTGTAATTAATCACATACATATTTTGTAAATAAATGTATATGTGTGCGTATATATGTTTATACAGCGTGTTCTGGAAATCATGGTACAATCGTGAAAGAGGATTCTTAATGCAAAAATGAATGGAAAATATACAGAATAAAATTTTTTCGTATAAAAACTGTTTTTGAAAAAATTAAGTTCAAATATTCGTTAAGTACATTTAACTAATCACAAGCTTCTTGATTCATCCAATCTGACTATCGTCGATATTTCTATGTCAATCTGATTTTGTAATATTCATTGTATTAATTGAAAAATTGTTAAGAATGTGTTTATACGCGAAAAAATTTTATTCTATATTTTCGATTTACTTTTATATGAGGAATCATCTCTTTTCCGATTGTATCATGATTTCCAGAACACCCTCTATATTTAATATATTTGGAGTAGCGAATGTGTATTTAAATTGTAAAATAATACAAGTTTTTATATTACCGTCACATACGTGCCGTTAATGCAGTCAAGCATACATTTTGAATGAGGCTTCGTAAGAGAGGCTGGAGTTTTAATGAAATTGCTCACACTGATGAGAGTAACGAGCATCATAAGGGTTCTCTCTCTCATGTAATGTGCGTACATATAAAAAAAATTTGAAACGCGCAGACGTGTCGCGCGCATTTTTATTTTTTACTTTTCGTCAGTAATCTCATTGCGACAGCGTGATTAAGGTTCTCGTGGTTTAAAGTGTTACTTCAACCGTAATAATTGTAAAAACAGAACGCGATCCGTATAAAAGCACTCCTCTGTGGTTTCACGCTTTAAAATTGTACTCGTTTTATTTAAATTATAATTTTTGTGACGATTTCGCGATTCAATGTACAATATATACCAACTTTCTTTACAATCTGAATCTAATTAATGATTCGCAAGCATCACGTATTTCAAAATACTGTAAAATTTGCAAACATTGCGTATTTCAAAACACTGCGGCAGTCTCAGAAATATCATTATTATAAATCGATAACTGATATTGTATCTATTCGTCTCTCGCATGTTCCAGTTATATTTCGCATTTGACTGAGAATTATTTTCCATCGAACAGCCAAGTTGCCGCGTATCGAAATAAAAGCACTGATAAAAGACTCACAAAGTCTCTTTTTATGATGTATTCACACTGTTTCGATTTGCAACAGGAAATTCTTTCAAATTGAAACGCACCAATCGCGTACTGCGTGATATCAAAAGAGAATATTTGAGACTGTGAATGAGGTCCACTCTAGCCAGATGCGTTTATCGTCGACTGAAAATTGTGACGAATTCGACTTCGTGATTACGTTATCATTAAGTCATGATAAAAGAAATTGTTTATTAATCATCAACAAAAGCGTTGATTTGTTTATAGCTATTTTTACACTATTATAATTTGTGTAACCAAAAGCCCTTCTGAAAACGTAGTTGTGATTAAGATATACTACGAGCTTTTTTGTAACTTGATTCCTTAAGCTTGTTGTAGCGATATATTTAGTTATGTTCTCTTCGCAAAGTGATCTCTTAGAGCGTACAGTTACTTTCGAAAGACAGTCGTGAAAATTGAGCTTATCTCCCGCCACTCACTTCATGACTTAAGGAGATCGAGCACTTGGCATTATCGCCCGATACCTGTTATCTGATCGTGCGGCTAGCTTATTTCGCTTCATTTGTCGATCTCCGTCGATGTCCCATTACGAGCCGCAAGCTCTCCATCCTGATGTCCGCCTATGGTCCACCGGATTTGAGAATCAACGACCCGTTTCGTGAGATACGGTGCCACGGCATTAGCGACCATTCGGACGTCCCGCCAACTAGTGAACTCTAATTTGCGGTCCCCGCTAATTGAGGGACGAACGCGAGACTGACGTGATTGCACCGGCGGACAAATGAAGAGATTCTCGGATGCGACAGGTCCTCGCGTTATCATGGTTCCAAAGTTGTAACGCAATAACAGTAACAACTCATGGTATTAGTAACTAAGTTATCAAGAGGAAATACAATCTAATGTTTATTATACGTAGTTTTTAAAATATTTGAATAGAAATTTCCGAAAGGAGTTCTTGTTTCAAATTCGCCTCGAAAGGAATAAATTATAAATTCATATAAGATCGTCAGCAAAAACGCTTGGCCAACACTACGGCTGTCAACTGACGGCAAAGGTTCTGTCAACCAATACTGGGCCATCACTGGCAAATGACTGGCTGAAATGACTGGACCAGTAGTATCTGCCAGTACTGGACCCAAGTTATCATCCAGTACTTAGTCAGTACTGCGCACTGAGAGAAAGGATTTTATTAATTTAACAAGCCACCAGTACCTTTAATAAGTAATCGGTAAATATGTGACAACAAAATTGATTTGTTGTGATTGCTACTAGACTGTTGTACCAACCAATTATTAGTAATAGAAGCAATATATAACCTATATAAAGCTATATATAACCTAATCTATCTTTTGGATAGACTTTAGAATCGTTTATCATAGAAATCATACACTTAAAAAAGTATAAGATCTTGGAGTATAGCGAAAATTATCTAAGTACGAAAAATAACTAAAATAGATAAATTTCTAGCAAGTACTGCGATATTGGATATGTATTGCACCTAGTCATATAAATAACAGAGATAGAATTTAGATTTGTGCTAAATTCTATGCGTATGATACATAATTTTCTATCAGATACAAAAAGCTATAATTCTAGCTGGAGCAGCAAAATATTTTTTTGCGTGTAGATGATCGTGAAGTCTTAAGTCGTAAGAAACTGACCAATCACAGTCAAATATAGGGAAAATACTTGACTAGAATTAGTCAATTTCTTACAATTTGAGACCTTACCACCGTCTATGGCTTCTATATATGAGCCTTTTATTTGCTAGCGATACTATTAATTATTTGTTACATTGACGAATGAGAAATAATTAATTTGCAATAGTAACTAATCGATCGTTTTTTTAACAAATATCACATTAGTTTTCCCTTGATTTGTTCCTATAACAAAATCTTTTCTCTCAGTGCGCCAGTAGGTACTTGAACAGTGGCAACCAGTAATGGCCCAACACTGGACTGATTGTAAAATCCTGAAAATATATATTTCCCAGGGAATGTTATTTCATGCCTACATGATCTTTTATTTATGAAATAGAAACGTTATAAAGGTAGAATACTTACCTGGCGTGACAAGAAGCGCGATGCCAAGGAGCAGAACTCTTGTCGCCACTTCCACGATTCGTCGGAAGCCCCTACGACACCACCGTAACCGATGCCTCTTCTCTTCGTCGTCCTCTTCCGCTTCATCGTTTTTACTCGCGTGCTCGAAAAGGCCCAGACAAAGCCGCAGCTTCCGGTACACCGCACTGATCTCATCTGATTCTGGCATGCGTCGCTTCAGAATCTCCTTTTTCTCAACCGCTTCGCTCTCCTGGCGCCTATACGATCGCCGACAGCCTGTGCAGGTAGGCTGACCGGAAGCGAGGATCGCTTCGTGGTCAGTCCTCCTAAGTGAAAGTCGTTCTTTCACTATATGAGCGATTTGACCTCAACACTTATATCTTATTTTATTGACCACCAATTAAGATCTTTTTATATAAATCGTATTACATATAGAAACAAAGATTCCAAATAAAAGAAAGCATTACAATAAAAAAGCCCATGAAAGTCTGTGAAAGTTTTATTTTTCTTAACTCATGATTAAATATTCAGCCAAATAACTAAAGACGTACGTTGATAATTTTTATCTTTAGGCATTATATTCAGGAAGTTTCATGACATAACATCGCCTTCATAAATGCGTGATAATTAATACTAATTTGTTAATTTTAGACTGAAGGTGATCTTAATGAAAGATTGAAACATCTATATTTAATTTTAATTAATACATATTCTTTTACACAGTTTCGGTTGAATTTCTATTCAGTGTTTCATGAGCTTTTTATTGTAATGATTTATTTTATATAGATTTTCTAGCACAAGTTTTATAAATCCTTATCATCTTTTTTCATTTGTATGTAGAATGCCATTGATATTATTAATAAAAAAATGAATTATAAGTTTAGTTTCTTTTTTCACTTTGCACACGTTGCTATACCTAAAATAACTAATAAGAGAAATGTGCAAAGCAGACTTGACCGCTGAATAAATAGACCGCGTTTCCTCACCGCGACATCCGCTATCAGTTACCTGTCCTCGTAGTCGTCACACGCGGCGTTCTCCTCGGTAGCATGGTAACTGTCGTGCCTTAGGGACCGCAGACCCTGCGAACAAGTTCCTCCGGTACACTGGAACTCGAGCCTTCGCCGGAGGTCCGTGGCTTGTAGCCCTCCTCCGCCCCCCATACCCCCGCTCCCATAGTACCTGCAGGTATAAGCGGTCGACGTCCGCGTTATAGCTATAGCACACGCGGCAGTAACAATCATCGGCCGGTCTCCCCACGGAAAGTGAGCTATTGCCGGTAAATAACGTGTCGCTCAATATGTCGCACAAGCTAGAAGTACCCGCGAATAAGGAGTCGTTTTATAATAAACTATAACGCGTCTCAAAAAAGAGCGAATATGTCATGAAATGACAGTAAATAACAGTAAATAACGATTGCGAATTTATGCAACGTTGTATTGGATGTCGCATTAAGCATCACTGTTGATGATAAAATTTTATCTCACAAAATTTTTGAATTCTTCGGTACGTAAAAGGGATTATCAAATAACTTTAATTTTACACACAGAAAAATATCGTTCTATTGCTAAGAAAAATGATTAATCAATTTACTGTTTTCTTTTAAGTAATAATTATCTTTAACAAAAATATTTTCTTGATAATAATTTTAAAATATTTCTATCACAAACTTTGGAAAACTCATGTATTCAAAACAAGAATTTATTTACTTTTGAAGAATATCGTAAAATTGATTGAAAAAGTAACTTTATGTAATAAGCAAATCATAATTATTTTAATAACTTTGAAGTATTAAATTTATTAGGATTCAGAATATATTTTTAATAAATTTATGATATGATGATCTTATGATCTTATGATGAATTTATGGATAAATGAACTTAATTCTAAAATACTTAAAACAAGTAATTATTATTTGCGTACAGTATGTATTTTTCTGTGTAATTCCTTTCAAAAATTTTCGAATTGGTTTTGTAGTGCCTTAATTTGCGTGATGCAATGATTTCTCAATGAAGTTCTCGATAATAAAAAAAAAACTCGCGTTAAGTGTAAATAAGCATTACGTTTGAGTTAATAGAGATAAGTTGTATGTAAAATTGAGAAGGTAAGACATTGGATTATTCGGACATCCATCTCTTTAGGAAAACGAGTCTGAATAGTCAATGCTTGGCGAGCGAGCTTTAGACAAGGTTTGATTCAGTTATCCGGTTTTATCCTACTTTGTTGTCGTATTGACGTAAATGATATCTGCTCACCCCTGCCGCTCCGCCACCACTACCGCTGCCTGGATCGCACGCCCCCGATGCCGATTTTTACGAACCTCGCCACTTCCTCGCCGTTCTCGACAGGCACTTTAACCCCCGCAATGTGTCGCTCTCATCACCTGCAATATAAAGAAATACATTCATATAAAAAGATATACAGACATATAAAGAAATATATTCATCAGTAACACATTAACTGAGAAATAAATTTTACTTGTTTTGTTCATTAAGAAAAATATTAAATATTATTATTAAAGATGTATTACACAAATATTCCTTATTAAAATGAAAAAATTATGAAAAAATTATAAATTGTTCTATATTGTATTTGTGTGTGAAAGTAATACAAAAAATTTGGTAGCGATATAGAGTCTGGATTCTCTCCAAAATTATTTCAATAAAAAATATTTTTAAAAATAATTAAGATAAAAAATGAAAAAATTTTCACTATAAAATTATATTGTTAAATATATTATATAAGTATATTGACCTTATTAAATTGCTTCACATGTATACAGCATTTTTATTTATATGGAAAGTATAAATTTCCAATTCCAGTGACTTTTTGTAAAGATTACATACATTCTTAAATATTTTATCGTAGTTTTATATTATACATTAATTATATTATTAATGATACATATATATGTATAATTATATGTATCATTAATAATAGAATATAATTATACGTATAATAGAATCTATAATTATGCGCATAATAAACATATAATTCTTAAGGATAGCGCATTATTAATTGTCGCATAGGGATGAATCATTATTCCATACATTTGCGTGGTCGCCTATTATTCTGTGGTTATGGTTATATCTTTGTACAATAACCATTAGCACACGTGTGGCCGCGCATCCATACATGTGTACGTACAGACGAATGAATCCTTTGGTAGATAGTTGAAATTCCGTATAGGCGAAACATGAATCGATTCGATTAGCAACATACGTGCTCAGATACAAGCCTGATTGATTCAATTTGGGTTCCGGCCTCAGCAGTGCTTAGACAGAGGTAAATGCTCCGAAGATAAACTGATAATTATATCACGTTTGGAGGCTGCCACGTGACCTGGCAGAGGCAAGGATAGAGCAACATTAAATAATTCGAGATATGAGAAATTAAATATTTCTAACTTGAAGCATGTAACGTGAGTTCCATAATTTAATCAACTGCTTCCAATTTAATGTCTTTAATGTCTTTTTCAATTTAATGTCTTTACAGTGCTATCACGGATGATTATAAATGCTGCGCCATCCGAACGCGCCATGTATTTTTACGCTATATATCAAATTTATATTCTAGTCCAATTTTGGATCCTATCTTGGATAAAATTGATTGCTGAAACATCGAAATTTCGATGCTGTTTTGATAACTGAAAATATTTTGATAATTCGATGTAATTATATGTTCGACAATGCTGATTGTAAAGGGAAATTCAATGAAATTGTAAATTAGCAGGGATTGCATTTGATGCTGCAGTGCTTAACTTCAATGCAGAAAGTAGTCGCGATTTAATGCAAATTATATTACGATATATACATACGATGTATTACGGTCACGGAATAATGGTGCACACCGGCACCCCCCACGGATTATTTATCGTGCGTCAATACGCGAAGATTTTACTTCATTCGGAGCACGTTCATGTAATACTAACTCCGACGGGAATTACGGCCATTCTGCTAATAAAACGACCGTACTGCCGATATAGGGAACAGGTGCGTTCGACACTCCCATTCGATGATTCCGTCGAGTCCGTATTGAACGAATGATGAAACGAATTTCTTTTTATCCGAAGTTATTAATGGAACAATCCTCAAAATGTTGGACTTAAAATGTTACAGAGATTGAATTATTTAGATATATAATAATACTATAATATTTTAATAAAAAACTTACTTAGATTATAGATAAAATGAAGAGCATTAATTTAATGCATTTCTTTAATAAATAACGGAATCCTCGCTGAAGAAGAAACTGGAAAATTAATTTTTGCATTAAATGGATAAGTAATATAGTAGTGCTGCACAGTAATCTGCGGGCGAATGCCTCGGTAAAGTTACATCGTAAGCTTACAGCGCTCTTATTTATGATCACCGTCGGCTACTAATGCTGCAACATCAATCAGATGTTGTTATTCATTCAGTGCTGAGCCAGATGGAAGATTAGACGCTTACACTTCCTTTAAGGATTCATACAATAGCAAGTGGAAGTTAAATTCCTCAACGCGTGTCATCGCAACTATCGACTAATGATGTTCTCGCCAAACATTGTTATTCACGCATTATAATTTATGCATAATATACATGTATATATTGCCATTTACAAAACTTGTTCCATATAACATGGTTTTAATATCACTTCATAAATAGCTAATTGTATCTCATGCAAGCGTTATAATTTTGCATATTGCAAAGCGTTACTTATATTGTTGGAATCGTATATTTTTGTATTACAAAAACAACGTAACGATTCGCGAGATATTGCATGAGATAAACGCCGCAAGTATTTTCTGTCAGGTTAAAGCGCATCCAGAATTGACTTTTCGAACAGACATTGGTTATCTTACTATCTCTGACTTTATAGCCGATATTATTTCCAGAGTAAAGTCACGTTTTACTACCTCGCGTCAAACTATCCTAACTCAGATGGCGGTGGGTTAGAGATTTCTACTTCATGACCGAGATTGGAGCAATGAAGACCGCGATTCCGAGTCAGTTTGTAGATTTAATCGTCGGCAGCTTGATCAGAGATACGAGGAATTGTTTTTTCTGCAGATTTATCCTTAATTTTTAATTGTCCTATTTCAACTTTTTTTTATAGATGTGACGTGCTTCACGTCAACGTCACGTGGTTATTAATCCTAGAATTCTATTGCTATTGAATACGCAATATTCCAATCGATACGTAAATTTTACGAATAAGGAAATAGGCCACTTTTAATTAATGTAACACAAGTTTTTAATATATTTCATACTTTTAATGACAAAATATTTATAATCTAGATTTTTATAAATACAAATAATTATTAATTATTAAAAGGAAAAAATAAGCATGAATTCAATCTTGAAATGATATAGAGTATGTAGTTCAGTTGTGTGTGTGTGTGCGTGCGTGCGTGCGTGTGTGTATGTTTGTATCTTCTCATACACGCAAGCGAAATATATAATTTTGTGTATTAAAACAAAACTGCTTAAAAATTAAAATCACTTATCATGCTCTCCGTTATAATATTGATCACCAGAAGGTCCAAACTGATATATAATGAACAGAATATTTAAAAACTTATCCTAGCTTTTAGTATGGCAGATTGAATCTTCACTGAAAACACAGCTTAACGAGTTCAATGACCTCGCTCACTAGTATGTAAAATTTATGTATCAAGCATTCTAGGATTAACAACTAGGATCATATATTTTATTGATCAGACAATAAGTCGAATAGAACAACTTGCTACGTGCGAGGGAATATTTATTGTCTTTCTCATAAATATGGATTTAAGCAGCTCGGAACAACTGCGATCGATTTAATAGCGCGGAATGACAAGTGACCTTTAAGACTAGATTCCACGATTGTACTGGCTTGCAAGATGAAGTCATTTCACAGTCGGAACTATATTTCCAAGACGAATATTCGAGCCAGCATGTAGATGACGAGGGTACCTACATATATCTCGTGCGGTCGTCACCTTAAAGAGAGGAATGTCGGAGTGAATGGTACGACCAGTGCTGATAGAAGGTGTTGGATTGCACTATTTGAACAATGGCACATGTCGCCCACGCAATTGCGGCTCACTAAAGGGGCTGCGACACAGACTGTCATAACTCGTCTTCATGTTCCTGGATTATTAGGGCCGAGCCGGTGGGACTGACCAATTTCTCTCTCTCTCTCTCCCCCCCCCCCTCTCTCTTTCTCTCTGTCCCGCGTTATCCTTTTCCCGCACAGGAAGTAGTCTACTGTTCACGAAGCCCTCCATATAACACCTATATTTGCTGATGCTGTAAATCGAACCGACCGTGAGAGTTCATGCATCGGATGTGTCGACAGCTTAAATTTCAACGTAAAGTAAACATAAGAAAATGGCTTCACGACATCGCGTCCGCTTCGGAAAAATATTTTCACGACGTGAGTTTTTATACTTTTACAACACCGAGCTCATGATCTATATGCGCTGCCCCGAATATTCCCGGATCTTGGAAGTAATTCTGACTGCGCGAAATGATTCTGTTTTGTAAGCCACGCGCCGGTAGAGTCGCGGAATCTAATCGGAAAGATTACTTGTCATTCCGCACTATTAAATTTATTGTTCGTCTGAGTTTTTGACGAGTCATGAAATGCGATATTGACATCGGTCTTATTTACGGATCATAGATATCTCGTCACTTTCGAACGTCGTTTACGTTAAATAATACGTGAGATCGATATCGACAGGATCAATTTGCTCGACGAGCGAGTTTCTTCTTGCCCGTAACGCAATCTGCTTTTGTGCTTCAAGGCTGGAGCACAGACCTTTGCATAATGCATAAAGTATAAAAAAATTAACCAATCAAAGTCTTTTACTTCATGGAAAGGAAGGAAATGAAGGATTTTGAATGGTTCATTTTCTTATGCGTTATGCAAGACTCTGTGCTTCCGTCCTTAATGCAACTCGTTACACTACTTCATCCGAATGCGCTGTCATTTCCGAACAAAACGAAATAGTCGGCTAATTGGTTCGCGTCAGGGTTATATGTCCCATGTGATTTCATTCATTATCGATGTCTCGGTTGACGCAACCGGAAGCGAGGAAAGTATTAGTGAGCACTGGTGTGTATATATATATACGTGTATCGTGCGATTTTTCAGTCCCGTTTTGTATGTCCGTTGTCGACTACGTTTCAACGTCGACATTTCATTGCATTTCGCGATACTGCATACACGCTTTCCGAGATCAATACGCGGGACGAACGCGAGTGAATTACTCGTATGCGTAGGTATGCTAAATTGCCGAAAGTTGTCGGCCAATTTCACTGACGACGCGTACGAACTTCCATCTGTACAACCGGAACAACTATGCATGCACCCGGAAGTTCGACTGTAGATCTTTGTTGTTTGTTCCGTATGTACGTG